AAAAAAAAAAAAAAAAAAAAAAAAAAAAAGAACTCAAAAGTTATCAGGAAAGTTTTGTTTTCTAAATTTTCTCTATGGTTTAGTGACAGCATCGAAGTGATGTAATGAGTTTGTTTTACAGAGTTATATATATATAACTTCAGAAAGGGAGAGAAGAATTCCCTCACTTCTGCACTTTATAGAACTCTGTAGTTGCAGGAGGTTAAGAATGACTGGAGAAAACTTTGTGTAAGAGTATTACTTCGAAGAAAATAATAGGAAACGAACATGTAGAAACTGTAAGATGTTCCTTTAACAGAAAAGTTTGTAATTTCCTTTCCCTCAGAGGCTAAATGAGGAGGCTGGATATATTTGGGAAATGCCTTCATTTTATGTGTATTATAAGGCTAATGTTTGCTGTGATTCCTCACACAAGCTCAGAAAGAAGTAAAACACTTGGACAGAACCCAGCAAATGACCTGGTCTCATGTGATCCTAGAAGCCGAGAAACACTAAGTCATACTCCTGAAGTTTTTGTACACTCTCCAGTTTGGAGAACTGGATCCATAGGGGCTATGAAAACCTAGCAGTCAAGGAAATAAGTTTGATCTGGTGATTAGGAATGTGGCATTTCCAGAATCCCTTTGTATATGGCATTATTTTGCCATGTAGAAATTTTGGCAATTTGACTTGCCAAAAAGGCAGTCAACCTTTTTGGGCTTTGACTGTTTTCAGAATGTAAGATCCAGATATCCAGTGTATAGGAGCGGCTTCCAAAGTGGACATAGAATCAAAATATCTTTTATATTCAGGAGAGAGAGGGAGGAACGGAGAGAGAGAATTGTCATTTCTGCAATTTTTTGTGATGTAGAAAGACCATAGAGTAAATGATGGATTTGTTTGTTTTTCAGATATGAAGATCAATGATGCAGACTGCTGGTTTTGATGAAGCTGGGCATTTATAACTAGATTCATTAAGGAATACAAAGAAAATATTTAAAGAGATCAATAATGGTGTCTTCTGGTTGCAGAATGCGAAGTCTGTGGTTTATCATTGTAATCAGCTTCTTACCGAATACAGAAGGTAAGATCCAGTTTACATTTTGTTTTTTAAATCCAGAAGAACTTGAACTATATAATCTTCTTTATATGGAAGTGCCTAGAATATTCATTTATTATTTTAAAAATAGTCATTAAAATGATTTCCTGAATATTGAATTCTTTATTAGGTGGTCAAGTTCTTTTGATAACACAGATACGATATAGAAAGTGCTAGATATGTGAGTTTATATTTTACATACATTTATGAAATATAACCATTCTAAATAATCCCGAGGGAACTAAATAAAAGCTCTGTTTTGGTATACATTTTGCATTTATTCACTACATTTATTTTAGTAAAATGGAAAGTATTTTGTGGAAACTCTTTCATCTTTAGTTACATTTGCTTAAGTGTGGGCATAATTCTAAAATTCCTAAGTTAAAATTTGTAATCTTTTATGAAAAGTTACTTTTTAATACTAGTTCATCTTTTTATGTTTATATCTTTAGCTATATATATATGTGTGTATATGTATATGCTTTGTAATGTTAAATTTGCAGAAATATAATAATTATTTATTTGTACTTAAAAGTAGATGTGGACTTTTTCTTAAGCACTATTGCATTAAACATTTTTATAAATCTAGGAATAGTAATGAGTGTATTTTTCAAGACCTGATTTTTAAAGAAATTAATACACTTTTGAAGCCTAATGAAATAATTGGAACCATCATTTATTAACTACTATATAGATTTCTGGTATCCGTTGTTTTCTTAGTCTTAAATATTATTTCCATATGAAAATAACACACATGCAGGTGTTTTTTAGAGCAGGCTAGAAGTTAATATGGAGCTAAGATGTATAAATTTTATAGCTAGTTGATAGTGGCAGTTATTGGCATGAAATGTATTAATCTTGTAAAGTTTGTGAAGGGTATAAAATCTCTGAGAAATGCATATAAAATATAATGGATTAAAAAATTGCAATTAAATATTCTTGAAAAAATGTTTAAGAATTAAAAAATTGATTTTATATATACTTTTAAGTGATCTTACTTATACCTATTATTAAAATGATAGGTGGAGAAGGGACATACTGTCAACTAATAGAAGCGTATTATTCCATTGTCTCTGTAATAAGCTTCAAAATAACATTTTAATTTTGCTGAAAGAATTTTACTTGAATTGCTTGTTCCAGAGTTACATTTTATCACGTTCTCCTTGTCCCTCTAGTCCCCTACCTTCAGTATATTGATATAATGTAATATAATTTAAATAAATAACAAATTTAGAAATACTTAAAGTAAGAATTTCTGTATTCAGAAAGTAAATAGTGTTCACTTGGGTTTAAGTCACACTTGGAAGTTACAATCTTTGGGTTAATATTTTATTTTCAGATGACATTGCTCTTTGCTTTAGAACTGAAGATGCATTGTATCTAACATATGTAATCTCTCTGAATGAATAATACTATCATGATAAACAGTGAACAGGAATTGTGTTTAATAATATAAATTTCTGGCTTGGATTGTTGTGAAAATCTTGTATGTAGGCTGATGATTTTGCATCTCATTTTTGGCGGGAAAAAACCTAACCTGAATTCCTGCCGTTATGTTTGAATGCTTTTTATACATTTTAAAAAGATTCCAGGTGTGGACCAATGGCTCATTAGTCCACATAATGAAAAAATTTCTAATCAAGTTAGAGACCACTTTGCTTGCACAGTAGCTTAACTCAGTGGGGGGCTAGCAAACAGACTTTTTTCATGAGATACTGCAGCTTTATTTTCAGTGTCATCTGTCAGGTCAGGATTCATATCTGCTGTTAGGAGAAATTTCATTTTTGGCACATCAGGCCAGGGGGTATTGCTACTGAAGCACTTCCCTCCTACGGGTAAAAAGAACCTGGGACGAACCCATACTGCTAATTGTAAGAGTATACACAGTTAATACACACTGTTAGAACATTGATCCAGTATCGCATGGGTTTGTTTTAGAAAGAGAAAGTCTTACATGACATGATAGTCGTTTATTGCCAGAAAGCAGATAATGCTCTGTGAACATCTATAGAGAAAGCCAATCAACGTTAGGTAAGAAGGCATAGGAAGGCAGATAAATTTCTTTTAGGCCCTTACATGATTGTAACCTTTTAACATCTTACGGAGTTTAGTTCTTTTTGTACCAGTTTCTAGGTTCTTGCAGGTAAACTCAGTTAAGTTTTCCTGAGTGATTTCTTCCCTCTTTCCTCATTTATTGAGTGATTAAATTGAGCTGCATGCTTTGGATTCAGAAATACACAAGGAAAAATAATGCATTCGGCACGGTTCTTTTTTTGTTTGTTTTATTTTATTTTTTATTTTCCCATAAGTTATTGGGGCACAGGTAGTATTTGGTTACATGAGTAAATTCTTTAGTGGTGATTTTTGAGATCCTGGTGCACCCATCGCCCGAGCAGTATACACTGCACCATATATGTTGTCTTTTATTTCTCACCTCGCTCCCACTCTTCCCCCCAAGTCCCCAAAGTCCATTGTATCATTCTTATGCCTTTGTGTCCTCATAGCTTAGCTCCTACATATCAGTGAGAACATAGGATGTTTGGTTTTCCATTCCTGAGTTACTTCACTTAGAATAATAGTCTCCAGTCTGATCCAGCTGACTGCAAATGCTGTCAGTTCGTTCCTTTTTATGGCTGAGTAGTAGTCCATCACATATGTATATACACACACACACCACAGTTCCTTTATCCACTCGTTGATTGATGGGCATTTGGGTCAGTTCCATGATTTTGCAGTTGTGGTGCTGTAAATGTGTGAAGTTTTTACTCTTGAGAAGCTCATGGTCTTGTGCAGGGATTGAAACCTTAAATACCTGTTGGTGCCTTGAGGGCAGCGGACTTGAGGTCAGATAAGAAAGTGCTTGTCAGAGGACCTGTGATTACCATTCCAGTATTTAGCTTGGTTTTTCCAGTCTTCTGCCTTGCAGTAGAAATCAAACATTAGGATTTTTAAGTAATGGCAGCTAATTAAGATTTTGTTTAAAAAACAAGCATGTATGTCGTAGAATAGCCATGGGTTATGCATTTCTTTTTAGATCTTTTTTTTCCTCCTGTTACAGTTGTATTTTACCTTGGTACATGATTTTAAAGGCTTCACATAATTTTGGATTTGCTTTACATCTGTACATAGTGAGATATACATTTCCAAATTCATAAGGACTTACTCTGTGTTCAGGCAAACGTTATAAATGTCATATTTTGTGTACACATAAAAGGGCAGATCACTAAGCATTTTTAAAGTTTGAACATGGTAAAAGCTAATTATACAAAGGTTTAATTGTTAACATCTACCTATCTCTATCTTGAATCAAGTCTTATCCATTAAAATTTACCTGTTTCTGTAAAATAGGATTAATATTTTACATATTCTCTAAGCTTTTCCTACAACGTATTTTGGGGAAAGTTATATTTAGAATTTCCAAATAAAAATGATTTTATACAGACCAAACTTTCAAAATATTTTGTAAATTTTTCTTATAATTGATTTTATTTCTAGAGAACTAATCTCAGATTCTTTAAAAGTCAGTTTTGTTGAGAGACTGGTGTGCTTTGATTCTTTTGGCCAGTTTTAATAAGCATAGTACCCACTGTGGAATCACGTATCAGTAAGTAGAAAGTAAATTGAATTTTTGTGTCCTAGAGAATTAAATTATGCTGTATAATGGAGCCTTGGCAAGCATAAGTTAGACACATGAAGGCTTGCTCAAGTGACAAGTTACAAATAATAGTACTCCTTCAGCAAAATCAGTAATATGGATTTCAGGTTGAATTCTTTATGCAATGAATATGTAATTAGATTTTATTAGTCAAAGTTTTACTTAATTACCTGAAATTACCTTGTTGCTTATCCTTATTTCAAAGAAAAATGTTACGCCAGGTATAAATGTGAGAGATGCCACAAATAGCTTTATGTATTTATTTTATATAAATCAAGAAAATATGGTAAACATAGTTGTAGAAATAGTTTCTTGCCAGTTTTTACTGTACTTTTAAGTTCTCTAAGTACATTTTATAATGACTTGAGTTAATGTTATCTCTCTAAAAATATGTGTCTATAGGGTCTTTTCACTATTTGGGTAGAAGAGAAAAAGGCAGATTTAGGGGTTAAATATGAAATAGTGAAAACTGTTCCTGGCATATAGATATTTCCTTCAGAATGGGCTGAATTTGGTGGAACGATTAGTAACTTTATTCTCCAAAGTTAAATGTAAGAAAGATTGATATAATTCAGACTACTGTATTCATTCCTCCTTTTTTCTTTCATTCTTTGATTTACACACGCATATAACAAAATCTGTATATATATATATACACACATTCTTGTGTATATATGTGCGTGCACACACACACACACACACACACAACATGCAGTATGCTAGTTTCACAAGGGCAGGGATATTTTGTTGTTGTTCATTGATGTCTTCAAGTCCCCGAACAATGTCTGGCTTAGAGTAAGCACTCAATCCATAGCTGTCACATAAACAGAATAAATCTTTGAAGAGGTTCATAGTCTGTGTAATGAGGGAAAAGACAATGAGCAGTTGTAATAGGAGTGTGATAAAGTGCCATAATAATGATATTCACAGAGGCATTGGGATGAGTGGTAGTTGGATGGTTGGATGTATGTCAGGAAATTCTTGTAGCTGGAAGTGTCATATGAAACAACAGAATCACCTGGAAGATCTGTGGTGGGGCCCAATCATTAGTTAGCGTTTCTGACAAATTGCAGGGTGATGCTGATGGTGTTGCTCAGCATCATACTATAAGAGCCACTGCATATTGTATGTGTGGGGGGGTGGTTGTGGTGAGGGTAGGGGTGCATGGGTATAGACATGGTCCAACTTTTTCAAAAGTATTTTTGGAAAAAAATTATGAGTTGATTGATCATGATTCAGAAGTTAGTAACCAGTTGTTTCTTGGGAGCTAGTGGCTATTTCTTTGCAGATTGTTCTTTATTCCCCTGATTGGGCTTCTTGGGAATAATTT